CTCAAAAATTAAAATAAGATTAAAAATCCACCCTGCTAAGTTGTTCCTGAGTCTTCACGTCATTTTAAAATCGTTCTGAGTTTTCTAGCATTTAAAATGGCAAAGAATCTTTGCCCCACGAACAGGTAAAAATAAAAGAAACAATGTCGAGAAAAACGGAAATCAAGTTTTCTTCGCATTTATTCGATAGTAGACAATTCGGGTTATATATAGGCTCGTGTATAGATCTCAAAATCCGTATTTTCGACGAAAATGGCTTTTTTTTTACACGGGGGTAACTGATTACGGGGTGATTTCTTCAACTTCAAAGGATTAACGAAGGTGGAACAGAAGCACTCCATAAAATTATCGCACTAATTTAGCGATTTATATCTGTTTTTTGGTCGGATAAACTTGCCATTAACTACATGACAGGATCGACATCACCCCAGAATCTTTGCTGTTTATATATTCCAGTTGATCTCTTTTATCCAACACGAGATAAGCAGAGAGAACTGTTAATTCTGTTATCATGGTTTATAGCAATTATTTTCCTGTAGAAACTGCCAAACAATCGCTAAATTACTTAGAGAATTCAAGCAAGTGACTCTATTTCTCCGTATGATCCCCAATATAATATATGAACTATTCCTATATTAACATCAATACGTGAGAAAGCGCGAGGTGAAAAGAGCTGTTTTTTTTTCTTTTTTTCACATATTAGTCATAGATAAAAAAACTTACACGTAGAACTATTTACTGCTATGCGTGATATATACAATGTGTCATTAGCGATATAATGACACATTTTATATATGATCATTTCGAGCATGATGAGTTGGATCTATTTACGTAATGCGACATTTTCGAAAAAATTTGACTTTTTGGGTATTTTTCAAGTGTCTACTCATAGACCGTAGCTAAGTTTGTTAGAAGCTGGTTTTTTCTGCTTCAAAATTAATAAATTTCTTTATCATTTCGACTTTTGTTGATATTTGAACATTTCTTAGTTATATCCATCTCTTGTTAAGTCATTTTGACAAATATGTTCAGCGTTTTTGTTGGTCACTTGTAAATATAAGGCACTCATTTTTAAAATGTGCCTGTCTTAATTGTTTAGTTCGACGTGCAGCAGCATTCTTTGATCTACTTGATTCTTCATTCTTACGATTCATATCCGTAACAAAAGTAGGAAACGGATTTAAATTTTTTAAACGTTGTTCAAATGGTGAACCTAAAAGTAATAATTATCAGTTATTGATTTTGATATAAAATGTACATTGATATTTAACGAATTTGTTGTATGAGCTTTGTTTTTCCATTTCTGACCATAAATATGATCATCTATCCATAATACTATATATTTGGATAAAGCTAAGTTAATTCAGTCTCTCTCATGCTAATTTGATGTTTACCATTATCAGGCACTTGATGATTTAAGATCAGTAATGTTGAAGGCGGTAAAAATAAAATTTCATCTATTTTTTAAGCTATATTTATTTAGCTATATTTATTTAGTCGGTGGAAAAAGTACAGCACAAAAAAGAAAAAGGTAGGACATTTCATCTTCAGCAGGAAAGTTTGAGAACTGTTGAATAGAATGGTCAGTTAATGAATAAGTTATAAATATTGTATTACAATTTTAGAAAAATGTTTCGGTGGCAGTCAATATTCGATTAGAACGTCCATTAGAAAAGATCTTAATGATTAGTTTGTTGTAGATCTCTACTTTTAATATAGTTGGAAGAAAATATTTGTGTGTCAACGGTCAGACTGAGAAATTTCAACTTTTAAGGAATTCAAATAAAAAAGAGCTCCCCATGATCCCCTGCAAAGCTGCTATTCAGTAATTATTATTGTCATGTGTGAGTAGAAATGATAGGAAGAATGATATAGATAAGTAGTACAAATAGAATTAGAAACGTTGACTATTCTTTGTATTCAGTATGCAGTTTATATACAAGTCAGCAATTTTTGCATTCTCTATATTTTAAAATTTTTCAAAATGATAATTTACTATCTGAATTGAAATGTAAACCATATTGACACCGGAAACAAACATTGTCGTTTAACCGACGTTTGAGCAACCGACATCTGAGAGACCCCGGTGTTTGAGCGACTCCGACAGTTGAGCGAAGCGCAGCACTTATAGCTGCTCACCCCACCCATTCTCACCCTCTACAGATCTCCAAGTAATTCAGTTTATAATCGGACGAAAAAGAAATTGTTATCATCATCGTTATTAATCGTTATCGAAGTGAATACCATCATTTCATTTTGCCAATCGGGAAAAAGTCATATTGAAAAATGTCTAATGTCGGGTGGCTTAAATGTCGCGATCGCTCAAGTGTCGGTTAACGAACATTGCCACGAGGGATAGCGTTCAACATGCTGTAAAAGGTAAAGTATGTATATGACCTAGACGTTCACCTGTTACCAAACCAGCGTGCATTTTTTCTGAACTGTTAGTCTTAGTGTATTAAAGGTTTAGATGTGTTAATAAGTTTTAGATTTTGTTTATTTGCGCACAGTTTACATGAATTAATCACACCTTGTAAGTTGTTATAAAAAATCATTCACAAATTTATATGGTAATAACCAACCACTCAGTAAGGAAACTAGATCAAGATGTTGTTATGAGTTGCGCTAGTGCTGATGATTTTTGGATAGTAACACATGAATTTGTCTTTGATTCATCATCAGCATGCTTTTTAGCTATTTTTATATTAAACTTAATCCCTGTAAAGAAATTTTTGAGGGAGAAAATTCAAAATTATTATAACCTTCAGAGTAGCTAAAAAGCGGCCAAATTTATCAAAAACGTAAATTCTTCGCGTTAACACTGTTTTAAATTTTTCAAACCGTGATATTCTGAATCAGCATCCAAAACTGAGCCTACAACCCCACGAACTACATATCATTCGTCGAACAGATAGTTTGTCGACAACTTTCCTTTTTGTCGACAGATATTTTGTCGACAAGGTATTTTGTCGAATTTATTTGGTCGACATACGTCGGCTGCTTTTCGTCGACAACTCATTCTGTCGACAGTTATTTTATAGACAACTCATCTTGTCGACGAGTCTTTTTGTCGAGAAGCCATTTGGTCGCCGATGACTCTTTCATCTGTGATGTGAACTTCTGCCTTATTATTAGTTAGTCGCATATAAGACATATGCGTCAAGACTGTTGGTCAAGCAGCCGTCTTACCCTATTGTTACAGTCACATGCATGCACACGTGTCTGTAACACGAATTCTTTCGTCCGTACATCATGCTTTTGCCACATGACCAGTGGCATAATATATTCAACATGTGAAAATGGGCAAGAATAGAATTTATAAGCAACAAACATGTCGCATTCAACAGTGTCTTGAAATGCTCGCGGATCGATTCAAGAAGAAAGAGATCGACGTGATCGACTACATCCAAGACCTGTCGTTGTTGGTCTCAAAGAAGCAATCATATTTCAAACGTTTCAGCGTTGCCTTATCTCTCGTTCTCACTTTACTATCTTGTTAGTCTGCTAGTCATCTATGTCGTCTTCATAATTACTCTAGCTGTTGTTTTCTCTTCTATCTGTTCAATAAAATCAGAATATAAATTGGTACTCTTGAGCATTAGTAATTTTTTCAGGTATATTTCTCAACAAACTATTCGTCGACAAAATGGCTAGTCGACAGCATCGCTTATAGACGAAATAACCCGTCGACAATATATTCTTTCGACAATCAAGTGCCGACAAAAAGTTGTCGACGAAATGGTTTCGACAACAGTTTGTCGACAAAAGTGCTAATCGACAAAAATTAGTCGACGAATGATATACTTACCTAATCCCACATATTAAAATGTTTTATTCAACTTAAAGTTTTGCCAAAAGAAAATAATTTCTCTATATTAACATAACCTGCAGATTCTGGCTTCTCCAATAACCTTATACAACTTTTTACTGAGTTTCAAACTATTTCACTCTACAGGACTACCTTCTTTGTACGAAATTCCACCAGTGGTTTTCCTTTTATTAACTAATTTTATGTGCAAAATATTTTTATTACTCTTGTGCACTTCCCCACATGCTAGTATGGAACAACCACGGCTGAAGAAATCCCCATCATCCAGTCATTTTAAAAAATGATCAAAAATAGGCGTCTACCACGAGCATCATTCAGTGATAGAGAGCTCGGGCTGTTTTTGCATTTTCATATATCGAATAAAACCTGGAGCGTTTGTCCACCCAACAAAAAAATAATCTTGAACTTTAGTTAATAAATGACGAAAATATTCACGGTTTGTTTTCTGCAGACTTTTCGAACATCCTGTGTTACGACCCACCTCTCTTAGTGTGTCGTAAGAACATCTCTTTCCTTCCTTTCTTTCTTGTTGCGTAATTACGCAACAGTCACAGTTCAATATTGCACAACCTCCGCACATAATTCAACGTTGCGCAACTATTGTTTCATTCTTCCTCTTCCTATCGTAGTGCGTTTCCCAACTCATTGAAACTTCTATGTTGCGTATGTTACGCATTATCTACGCAATCCTCGAGCGCGCGTATATATAGTGAAGCAAGACGGCAAGACGGCCGACAAGACAAGAGAAGAACAGCAACGGATTGCTCGTGATTTACGGTACGCAACACGGGCTGCAAAGAAGAACAAACAGAGGAGTGGTAAAGAAGACGACGACAAGAATCAGTTACGTATCTCAGGGTTTGATCACCCAACAACCACAATGTCTACGACGGTACAATTTCAGCATCCCCTCCCTCATGTATCAACATTCTCTGTTGAATCAACCAAGGACGCCAAGGAATGGCTTTCAGTGCTCGCTTTCATGTTTACCGCCGCCGAAATCGATATGACAACTGGGTGGAGAAATATTGTGTTTTATGTCGACGACAAAACGAAAAAGTGGTGGATGGACAACGATAACAATATCCAAGATTGGTCGAGCTTCCGGCACGCCTTCGAAAAAGAATTCACTCCATCCACGATCACAACTCGAGCCACAGCAGGCTCGAAAATGGCTGACCGGAAACAAGGACAACAGGAAACATTTGTCTCGTACTACAACGACAAGATGAAATTAATCAAGATCTACGATGCCGACATGGATAAGCCTAAACAACTCGAATGGTTACGAGGTGGCGTTTGTGGGGCAACCGCTAATGGTATCCTCGGCAAAACTTTCAGATCCCCGGAGGAACTCAAGGACTATGTTACCCAGTACGAGGCAGACAAGAAGCAAGTCGATCAAAAGGTGGCGGAAGAACAAATACAAAATCGAATGGCCAAATTATCAACCCCACAGATCGGCCAGCACCAGACTTACCTGTCACCCGCCCGACGCAATATGAGTAG